CAGGAGATTGTGCTCCTGGGGCAGACGGAGGCAGGAGATTGTGCTCCCGGTGGATGAGGAAGAGGAGGGAGGTCTGTCCATCTGCCTCCAGTTGGTGATGGTCTCAGTGTTGGGCTGGAAAGGCCTGAAACCAGGCCCGTGGCTAAGCACCTTAAGAAAGTCTGTAATGGTGAAACTATTAACTTTTTATTTCTTCATCTTCCACTTTACAGCTAAGATTTTGTACCTCGGCACCTTTGTATTAAAGATGGTGCCAGGAATGGCGACTTTGTAAACTTTCCACTATACTGCTGTATCCCTGTACTTGAATACATGTAACAATAAAATCTAATTTACTAATGTTAAACCGAGGTCTTTTGTATTCGCCTGAGAGAGCAGGGTCTTGATTTAATGTTTCAATAGGCAACAAACCGTTATCTCCAACAATGCAGCACTTTCTCGTTACTGTGCTGAAGTGTCGGCTTGGAACTTTTTTGGTTCATTCGTGGGATGTGGGCATCATTGGCGAGGCCACTATTTATTGCCCACCTAAATTATCCTTGACAAGATGTCTCCTTGAACTGCTGCTCCTTTAGGGGTAAGCTCAAGATTGAGACTAGAATGTACTCCCACCAAGGAGATAGTGTTCCTGCTAAACTAATATAAAAACAGGAAATAATTAAAGGGTGGGGGACTGAGAAAAAGCAGAGTTAATGTTTTAGGTCAGTGTCTTTTCGTCCATTAATCCATAGCTGACACCAGTTGAGATAAATACGCCGGGGAATTTTCAAAGCACTTGTGAGGTTTTGAAATATCTGGAGATGATGCCAACAAACACCCCCTAATTTCGAACTTGAAGAGTAGCAGATTTTGAGCCAAGCCATCTTGCAGGTTACGTTCATGACAGAAAATGTGAGAAGATTTCATTTTCATGAGCTAACCTTTCACAAGGCAGTTCTGCACAAAACTATGAACAGTTGGCTTTGTGGGAGTTCTTAAAGTCTGGTGAAGGCATTCCTTCAGTTGAGAGAGCTATAATTAATGCAATGCTGCATGTTTTAAAGCCGTCCGCATTACAGAACAGGAATGCATACTTTTAGAAGCCACTGTTTCAGTTTGGCAGCAGTTAAGCAATGTATCATACATCCCACTAATTTGGTGATTTCACAGTTATGCACACTACAGTAAGATGTTAACATATCTAACGAAGTGAAGCGTTTTGTGAGGCTAAGACTGCCCTAGCTCACTGGATTAGAATCATCGAGCCTTATACAACAGAAGGAACCTACTTGTCTTTCTGGCCCTGTGCTGTTTCCTCCATTGAAAGGCCTCCCTATCAGTTCTTGCCCTCCTGCTCGTTCCCTGTGGTCCTGCACGTTCCTTTCTTCTAAGCTGCAAGTCCTTGTAACGGAGTTAATTCAGGATCTTCATGGATCCATCCATTCTGAGCAATTGTTTACAGCCGCAGAAACATTTTGTTACTCAAATGCCTTAAATCGGGTAACTTTTAACAGTTTTATTGTGCTGTCAAATAATTGATCTGTCAATTTTTGTGTTAAGAAAAGTTTAAATATTTGAGGTGAAGTTTTGGATTTCCATTTTGCATGCGTCGTCCCCAAGAGCTCTGTTTGAAGTAACTGGATTGACCTATTTAATCGCCACATGATCTTTCCATTTTTAATATAGGCATGAAAATCTCCATCCCTCTCTCACTCTTTATCCTTTCATCTCTCCATCTCGCTTTGTCCCTCATTTTCTGTTTTACTTTATCTCTGGCGATTTGAACAGCGTGACTTGCTTGCATTAGAGAAAGCAGGCTTCAGGGGGAAAGGGCTGATGATTTTCCCTGTTCTGGTGTGGACTGATTTAATCTCTGTCACAATGATGTTTTATCACATCCTTAGAAAGCGGAAGTTGCTGAGATTAGCAACCACCCCCCATCCACTCACTGGGGCCTCACTGTGAGCTGCGCGTGCGGTTTGACTTGCTCACTCAATGTGACTTGCTTGGCTCAAATTTGGGCCTTTAGCTGTTGTAAAAACTGGCCACTCGGCCAAACCTAAAAAGGACTCAGTGTCTCGCTCCATGCCGTACATACTTGAGCTCTGGTTTCGAGCTTTGAATTGTGAAGCGGCTGGTGAAAGTTCGACGCGTCACCAAGCTGTTTCTGAACTGCCCTCCCTCGATGAGATTAAAACTACACCACTCAGGTTAGCAGACTAGTTGAGGGTAGGGGTCTCTCAACGCAGCCAGTCTTTAGCTCTTTAGGATCAGGCACATACATGTGGTAGAGAAACCTTCCTTCCCCTGCTTGCTGTTACACAGGAGTGAGTCCCACTGTAAACCCCAGGCCCACTCTTCCGTTGCCATGATTAATCCAGCAGTTTCCCAAAGCCAGCGATTTGCAAAGTGATGTTTCAATGTCATGGCACTCCTGTGCTGCGGGCTGCATTGCAGTGCTCTTTCAAGAAGAGTGTTCTTTCTAATGCATTGTCGCATGTTTCCCAGTGCCGTGTTCCTCCCAGTGCCCTTTGGTTCCTGGCGCGGTATGCCACATTGTGGTGTAGTTCCCAGTGCGGTGTGCCACAATGCAGTGTGGTTCCCAGTGCGGTGTGCAACCCAGTGTGGTGTGGTTCCCAGTGCGGTGTGCCACATTGCAGTGTGGTTCCCAGTGTGGTGTGGTTCCCAGTGCGGTGTGCCACATTGCGGTGTGGTTCCCAGT